AAAAAAAAAAAAGAAAAAAGGAAAAGAAATCCGATTCTTCTTCCATCTCGAATCCCCTTTCTACATTTTTTTCTCCGATCAATAGCCTCCATCTCCATCACCGGTCATCACCTGATTCTTTTCCTATCCAGAACCCTTTTTCTCCATTTTCTCCGAAGATCAGTTTTCCCCCCTTCCGTCACCGATCACCATTCTCATCACTAGTTCCTCATCATCGATCTGCTCTCCTTTGCCTAACAATAGTCACAAGTCATCTCCTCCGTCTCACAGCAACCGACCAACCATCAAGGTGATTCCTCCACTCCATGTAAAATCGAGATTTTAAACGATTTTACCATAAAATTGTGATCTTACGAATTTTCCTTCCGATTTCATGGAACTTCAATTTTAACATAGATTTTACTCGAAATACATACCTAAAATCATAAAATCGTACGATTTTACTATTTAAAACTCGATTTTGACAACCATAGTTTTGAGTATAAAAAATTCAATTTGAAATTTCTAGTTCTTTAATCAACCATCTATGCGGGCCAATTGTTACCCTAATGAATTATCTGAGGAATGTTTGGAGGGAAAAAAAAAAAAAGATTGTGGGAATCCTTACTGTTCTAGCTTTTTAGAAAGCTGACATCAAAATCAGAAGTCAGAATCACCATCTGGTCACGGTTTCTTGAGAACAAATCGACCAACTGCGAGTGCATAATTTATAAGCTATTTTCTTGTTTATTCGCCTTGTCTCTTTTCTTAAAAACCAAACATGCAATTTTCAATTTACTCAGAAGAATACTTTCAAGGGCGTTGGCGTTTTCCCAGTCCCTGCAGTTTACATCATTTTTGCGTGCAATGATCCTCCATAATTCCATGGCATAAACTTTTGTTGAGGATCGTTCACACCAAAATGATGCCAACTATGGCCGTGATGTTGTGATAATTGCAAATCAGAGATGCAAACGGTGCGATAATTGCAAACAAGAGATGCACAACATTATCTTCTCCTCCACACCAAAACATTAAGCTATGATTAATTACAATTACTAATTTACTAGTAATTTTTCTTGGATCACTGATTTTTGCATCCTTTGGCTTGAACAAGAAGAATAACAAAAGAGCAGTGCTAGGGGCACTTGCCTCTTGCACTCTCCGGCCAACACTTCCCCTTGCATTGGGCCACGTAAGCTTGTTTTAAAGCTTTGAAGTGCAACCTCTTACAAACGAAAATAACGCCGCCGATAAAAGTCAAAGTGTTGGCCGGAGAGTGCAAGAGGCGAGTGCCCTTAGCACTGCTCATAACAAAATCCTTATTTTTCATACTAGAAACTACTGTTTCAATAATGAATATTTGATGATGATCCCTTTTGTAAATGGTATCTTGTAGTAATTAAGCCTCTATTTGGATTGGTGAATTTGAAGAGAAAGTGGAGAGGAGAGGAAGGGATAGATGTCTCGCTTGGTGTATTTGTTTTCTTTATTAAGAGAAAGAGAGGGAGATGGAGGGGTGGTGGATTCCCCTCTACTCCTCATTTTTTCATTCCTTCAAATTAGAAAGATTGGGAGGAATTTGATTTACATATTTAATATTATTTTTTAATTTTTAAAAAATAAATATATAAAATATTTTATTTCAATTATTTTTTTAATTAATAAATTTTAAATATTTTATTTTACTTTTTAAAATTATTTAATTAATAAAAATTAGTATCCTTCTTTTTCTTTTAGGTTTGACTATCTAAACAAAATTAATATCAATTCTTTCCTTTTCTTTTCTTCACTTCCTTTATTAATTTTTATCTAAACAAAGTGTAAGTGAAGAGAGAAGGGAAATCCATTCATGCCTGCATAATCCACGTTGTAGTGCGTTTAAAAGTTGGTTTATTTATGATGAGGAACTATTTATCAAATTTCTAATATTGACTGATACAATTAAGTATTTCCCATTCTCAATTTTAATTTTTGGTGTGTGCCATTATTCTTGGAGTAGGACTTCTTTTATAGTGTTTGTTTTTGCCAAAGATCTTTTTTATTGAGTTGATTCACAATTTTATCTCACAATAGCCAAGTTACATTAACACCAGCTAATGCATTTATATGAGTTGATGCATATATATTCCCATTCTCCACTGAGTGAAAAGAGATACAATTTAGAGATAAAATTATAAATGAATCATTTTTCACTTTATTTTACCATATATTTCATGGCGGAAATTGAATATGCTTTGAGTGCGTTAATATACCATCCTTTTCTCTCTTGATATTCCTCAAACCAGTTTTGCTTCTGAAATATGTCATCCTTTTCTCCCTTGATATTCCTCAAACCAGTTTGCTTCTGAAATTTGTTAGTGAGATGAATTTTGATGGTTATAACTTACAAATAGAATCGTGCTGGTAGCTCTTAATGTAAATAATTAAACGATATATAACAGTAGAGGCTAGCAGGTAACTATGATATATGATTAGAAGGTCATGACATCTCACATTAACGTAGAAATTAGGCATTTAGTTTAGATGAAAAAAAAAAGAAGGGAAGTAGATGATTAATTTCTTGGTGATCAGGTTAATGAAATATGGTGGTAGAGATTTGTTTTTTGTTTCAAGATAAAACAAATAAATAAATAAATAAATAAATAAAAAGAACTGGTGTGGAAAGAGTCATTGTAGATCTGGAGCTAATGTCTTTAACTGTTTATGACTCTACGATAGATTAATAATACTGCCCATCATCATGCCAAGGCTGCTCTAGCTACTGGTCGGTCATTTATTTAGCATGAATACGATGAGG